TTGAAAAACAAATATCGTGATATGTATCGTGACAGAAAAAAATGGCAATGCACAGCCCTATTATATAGATTATTAATTTTAGTGAACTTAAAAAATCTTCTTGTGAAAAACCACTTGTCCAATTTCAACCAAACTTGGCAGGATTGATCCTTGGGCGAAGGGCTTCTAAAGTTGTTCAAAGAATTTCATTCCATGCAGAAATTTGGTTGCCATTATAAGAATAATTTTAAAAAATCTTCTTGTAAAGACCCAAAAGGCCTAGAGTTTTGATATTTTGCATAAGGCATTGTCTGGTAGACCTCTACCAAGATTGTTAAAATTATAGCCCTGGGGTCAAAATCTGCCCCGCCCTGGGGGTCATTGATTTTCACTATGTTATTTTTTACATATAGGAAAAACTTAAAATACCTTCTTGTAAAGACCCAAAAGGCCTAGAGCTTAGATATTTTGCATAAGGCATTGTCTGGTAGACCCTTACCAAGATTGTTCATATTATAGCCCTGGGGGTCATTGATTTTCACTATATGTACATATAGTAAAAACTTAAAATACCTTCTTGTAAAGACCCAAAAGGCCAAGAGCTTAGATATTTTTCATAAGGCATTGTCTGGTAGACCTCTACCCAGATTGTTCAATTATAGCCCTGGGGTCAAAATCGGCCCCGCCCCGGGGGTCATTGGTTTTCCTTATATGTATATAGTAAAAACTTATAGTAAAAACTTTAAAAAATTTCTTCTAGCAATTGACAAAGGCTATAGGTTAGATATTTTGCATGAAACATTGTGAAGTGAACTTCTAGCAAGATTGTTCAAATTATAGCCCTGGGGTCAAAATTGCCCCCGCCCTTGGGGTCATTGATTTTCAATATATACATATAGTAAAAAATCAAAAACTCTTATTGTCTGAAGGTACAAGGCTTAGAGCTTTAATATTTGTTAAACGATATTATCTATAGGTACTCTACCAAAGTTGTTCAAATTTGCCTCTAGTGTCAAAATTAGCCCCGCCCCGGGGGCCATAGGTTTTTCTTATACGTATATAGTAAAAACTTAAAAAATCATCTTCTCTAAATTGACCAAGGCTAGAGTTAATATATTTTGCATGAAACATTATGTAGTGAACCTCTAGCAAGATTGTACAAATTATAGTCCTGGGGTCAAAATTTGCCCCACCCCCGGGGGTCATTGATTTTCACTATGTACATATAGTAAAATTTTTTAAAAAATCTTCTTGTCTGAATGTACAAGGCTTAGAGCTTTGATATTTGGTATATGATATCATCTATGGGTCCTCTACTTAAGTTGTTTTAACTATGCCCCTAGTGTTAAAATTGCCCTGCCCCAGAGGCGATAGTTTTCCTTATATGTATAAAGTTAGAACTTGAAAAATCTTCTTCTCTGAATTGAAAAACCTTCTTCTCTGAATTGTCAAAGGCTAGAGGTTAAATATATGGCATGAGACTTTGCGAAGTGAACCTTTACCAAGATTGTTCAAATTATAGCCCTAGGGTCAAAATTGGTTCCGCCCCGGGGGGTCATTGATTTTCATTATGTACATATGGTAAAAAAATAAAAAATATTTTTGTCTGAAGGTACAAGGCATAGACCTTTAATGTTTGCTATATAATATCATCTATAGGTCCTCTACCAAAGTTGTTCAAATTTTTCCCTGGTGTCAAAATTGGCCCTGCCCGGGGGCAGTGATTCTCTTTATGTACACATAGTAAAAAGGAAAATAAAACAAATGTTTTCTGAATGTGAGAAAGCTACAGCTTAGATATTTGACTTGAAATGTTGTTTGGTGGACCTGTATCAAGAGTGTTTTGAATTAAACCTTTGGGTCCAAAATTTTGCCTTGCCCAAGGGGACAGTGACCTACTTTCTTGTCCTTTGATGTACAGCAATGAAATTTTGACCATGTGCACAGTTTTAGTTGTAAAGTGAACTTTGATTTCAGCTGACCTAGATTTTGACAAAGTGTCTTACTGTGTTGTCCTTTGATGTAGTCATGAAATTTAGGCTGTGTGAAATATGACCTTCACCACCAAATTCACACCAAATAGACTCGAGTGCATTGATATATTCCTACTCTGATCTTTTATTGAGTTAACAACAGATTTAACCACTAATCTGATAATAAGAATTAGATAGGTCAGGGATCTTTGCATTATGACAATCTTCAAAATTGTATAGAAACAAAAAAAATCTGTTCCTACGCTACTATTTAGTGTTGTATTAATGCGGTGGCATAGCATTTTTCTCAAATGCAATCTTGTTCTGCTTTGTTAGCTCACCAGAGCCGAAGGCTCAGGGTGAGCTATTAGTATCAAAGGGGGATGCTCCGGCGTCCGTCGTCATGCGTCAACAATCGTCTTCTTCTCTGAAACTACTGGGCAGATTTACCTCAAATTTGGTCTGTAGCATCCCTGTAACAGTCACACTTGAATTTGCTCATGTCATTCCAATTGGCCCCTTTTAGGGGTCAGCAGAGCTAAAAATAGAAAAACCTTTAAACATCTTCTTCTACAGAAATAATGGATGGATGATCACCAAACTTTGTCTGTAGCATTCTTGGGTAGTGTTTTATCAAGTTTGCTCATTTTAATTTGATTGGCCCCTTTTAGGGGCGCAAAAGCCTAAAAATAGAAATACCTCTAAATGCCTATTTCTAGAGAACTAATTGATGGATGATCACCAAACTTTGTCTGTAGCATTCTTAGGTAGTGTTTTATAAAGTTTGCTAATATTATTTTGATTGGCCCCTTCTAGGGGTCTCTAGGACTAAAAATAGAAAAACCTTTAAACATCTTCTCCTACAGAACTAATTGATGGATGATCACCAAATTTTGTAAGTAGCATTCTTGGGTAGTCTTTTATCAAGTTTGCTCATATTAATTTGATTTAGGGGCCGCTAAAGCTAAAAATAGAAATACTGTTAAAAGTCTATTTCTAGAGAACTAATTGAATGATGATCACCAAACTTTGTCTGTAGCATTCTTGGGTAGTCTTTTATCAAGTTTGCTAATATTATTTTGATTGGCACCTTTTAGGTGTTTCTAGGGCTTAAAATAGAAAAACCTTTAAACATCTTCTCCTATAGAACTAATTGATGGATGATCACCAAACTTAGTATGTAGCATGCTCGGGTAGTGTTTTATCAAGTTTGCTCATATTTATTTGATTGGCCCCTTTTAGGGGCGGCAAAAGCTAAAAATAGAAATACCTTTAAATGTCTATTTCTAGAGAACTAATTGATGGATGATCACCAAACTTTGTCTGTAGCATTCTTGGGTAGTCTTTTATCAAGTTTGCTCATATTAATTAAATTAGCCCCTTTTAGGGGCCGCTTAAGCTAAAAATAGAAATACCTTTAAATGTCTTTTTCTACAGAACTAATGGATGGATGATCACCAAACTTTGCCTGAAGCATTGTTGGGTAGTCTTTTATCAAGTTTGCTCATATTATTGTGATTGGCCCCTTTTAGGGGCCGCTTAAATTAAAAATGTATATATACATTTAAACATTTATTGCTACAGAACTAATTGATGGATGATCACCAAACTTTGTCTGTAGCATTATTGGGTTGTCTTTAATTTAGTTTGCTCATATTAATTTGATTAGCCCCTTTTAGGGGCCGCTAAAATTAAAAATAGAAATACGTTTAAACATCTTCTCCTACAGAACTAATTAATGGATGATCACCAAACTTTGTCTGTAGCATTTTTGGGTAATCTTTTATCAAGTTTGCTCATATTCATTTGATTGGCCCCTTTTAGGGGCCGCTAAAGCTAAAAATAGAAAAACCTTTAAACATCTTCTACTTCAGAACCAATTGATGGATGATCACCAAACTTTGTCTGTAGCATTCTTGGGTAGTCTTTTATCAAGTTTGCCTATATTTATTTGATTAGCCCCTTTTAGGGGCCACTAAAGCTAAAAATAGAAAAAACCTTCAAACATCATTTCCTACTGAAATAATTGAAAGATGACCACCAAACTTTGTAGCATTCTTTGGTAGTCTTTTATCAAGTTTGCTCATATTAATTTGATTAGCTTGGTTTAAGCTAAAGATTAAATACCCCAGGTCATTGCATTTTTTCAAATTATTGTTTAAACATATTCTATGCTCAAATTTAATATTAGAATATATTGACATTCTAACACTGAAAAGCAGTTGTTTCTGGTGAGTGACTCAGGGCCATCATTGCCCTTTTGTTAAAGTTATTGCCCTTTGACTTAGTGAAGATTTGCAATTTTCAATTTGTGTCATGCGTAGCTCAAAAGTATTTAACCTGGAGTCATGAAACTTAACAGGAATGTTGATCAGCATATGTAGTTTTGCACCTGGGGTTTCGCTTATGGATTTATCCAGTATTTCTAGAGTTATTGCGCTTGACTTAGTAAAAGATTATTATTTTTCCATTAGTGGCACATGTAGCCCAAAAAATGCTTGACCTAGAGTCATAAGATTGAAAAAAGAGTTGAGAGTGGGGGCACCCGTGTCCTATGGACACATTTCTAGTTTTATTAACTTCTTTATTTCTTAATGTATCTACTTCAAACTTCATATATATGTTTGTTATTATCACTCAAATCATTGGTGAGAAGGTTCAATACTCAAACAAGACTATTTCCAGAATTTTGTCCCCCTTGTCCCATATTTCCAGAATAATCTCCTCTTTAAACTTTAAATTTATCTTGTTCATTCTTTAACTTTCTTGTTTCTTCACGGATTTCCTAATTCCTGTCACATCAATACTTGGTGGTTGAAAACCTGGCTTTCGTCGCATTGCGGTGCTTCTGGTTCATTCATTAGATGGCTCAATTGAATGGCCAATGGCCCGTCAGAATGTTCCTGGGGTTCTAACCGTTAGGGGACTTATGGATTGCTTGCAATACTATGAGCATTGCTTGTTTCATATGTTAAATGTACTCATACATGTATTTTGAATGAATACTTGATTACTTTTCATGTTTTATTTAAAAAAAATTTTTTTCAGGCTTTAACAGAGCAAGTAGAGAGAGATTGGCTCAGAACACTATCTGCATTGAAAAGCAAAGATCCAAAAATCTATCAGAAAAATGCAAAATTTTTTCATGATGGTAAGTGACTGAACTTTGTTTGTTATTAGTGTGAAACTTCTTAAAATCATTATTTACTGTATTGAAGAAATGTGAAACAGTTCAATTTGAAATGTTTGGCTTAAACATAAGCATAGTAGGTGATGTCTGTGCAATTCCATGTTCATAAAACATGAAATATGGTGTTTGTGAATTGAAATCTGAATTTTCATTAATTTCTTAATATCCATCTGAAACTGAAGTGTCAAAGATCACCCACACAAATTTTTTAAGGATCAAACCAAAATATTCAAGGGTCAGCATATTTTGAGTATCACTGATCTAAATTGATACAGTTTATTATTTCATAAGGGAAAGTATGTAATATTCTTGTTTTTAGCTCACTTGTCATAAAGTGAAAAGCTGAGCTTTTATGATCACAATTTGTCCGGTATTCGTTCGTTCGTCTGTCTAACCGTAAACTTTTACTTTAAACAACATCTCCTCATAAACCACTAAGCCAATTTCATCCAAACTTCACAGGAATGTCCTTTGGTGGTCACCTTTAAAAATTGTTAAAAGAATTTAATTCCATGTATAACTCTGGTTGCCATGGCAACCGAAAGAAAAAACTGAAAAAATCTTCTTAAAAAAAACACATAGAGCTAGAGCTTAGATATTTGGCATGAAACATCTTCTACTAAGTGTCTACCAAGTTTGTTAAAATAAAAGCCCTGAGGTCAAAATTGGCCTTGCCCCGGGGGTTCATTGATTTTTATGACCCCGCCATATAATGGCAGGGGCATATAGTGTTACCCTGTTCCGTCATTCCGTCCTTCCGTCATCATCAGTTTCCGTTCATTATCTTAATAACCCTTGCACATATTGAACTCAAATTTGACATATGGATATGTCATGAGAAAATACAGGTCAAGTTCGAAATTGGTCATGGTTCGATGATTTTTGGCAGAGTTATGCCCCTTTTACATTGAAAATAATATGAAATTTTCAGTTTCCGTTCATTATCTCCCAAACGGTTCAAAACATTCAATTCAAAATTGACATATGGATATGTCTTGAGAAAATACAGGTCAAGTTCGAAATTGGTCATGGTTCGATGATTTTTGGCAGAGTTATGCCCCTTTTACTTTGAAAATAATATGAAATTTTCAGTTTCCGTTCATTATCTCCCCAACGGTTCAAAACATTCAATTCAAAATTGACATATGGATATGTCTTGAGAAAATACAGGTCAAGTTCGAAATTGGTCATGGTTCGATGATTTTTGGCAGAGTTATGCCCCTTTTACTTTGAAAATAATATGAAATTTTCAGTTTCCGTTCATTATCTCCCCAACGGTACAACACAATTAACTCAAACTTGACATTTTGATATGTCATGAGAAAATACAGGTCAAGTTCAAATTTGGTCATGGTTCAATGATTTTTGGCAGAGTTATGCCCCTTTTACTTTGAAAATAATATGAAATTTTCAGTTTCCATTCATTAACTCCCCGATGGTACAACACATTCAACTCAAACTTGACATATGGATACGTCAAAGGAATGCGCAGGTCAAGTTCAAATTTGGATATGGTTCAATGATTTTTGGCAGAGTTATGCCCCTTTCACTTTGAAAATAATATGAAATTTTCAGTTTCCGTTCATTATCTCCCCAATGGTACAACACATTTAGCTCAAACTTGACATATCGATACGTCAAAGGAATGCGCAGGTCAAGTTCAAATTTGGTCATGGTTCGATGATTTTTTGCAGAGTTATGCCCCTTTTACTTTGAAAATAATATGAAATTTTCAGTTTCTGTTTATTATCTCCCCAACAGTATTAAACATTCAACTCAAATTTGACATATTGATACGTCAAAGGAATGCGCAGGTCAATTTCAAATTTGGTCATGGTTCGATGATTTTTGGCAGAGTTATGCCCCTTTCACTTTAAAAATAATATGAAATTTTCAGTTTCCGTTTATTATCTCCCCAACAATATTACACATTCAACTCAAATTTGACATATGGATATGTTTTTGGAATGCGCAGACCAAGTTCGAGTCTGGTCATGGTTCAATGATTTTTGGCAGAGTAATGCCCCTTTCACTTTGAAAATGATATGAAATTTACAGTTTCTGTTCATTATCAACCCAACAGTGTTACATATTCAACTCAAAATTGACAAATGGATATGTCAAAGGAATGCGCAGGTCAAGTTGGAATTTGGTCATGGTTCGATGATTTTTTGGCAGAGTTATGTCCCTTTCACTTTGAAAATAATATAGATACATCTTAGGAATAAGCAGTTTAAGTTTGAATTTGGTCGTGGTTCAATGATTTTAGACAAACTTATCTTTCCTGAATGTTGGAAAAAATTTGAACTTTCAGTTTCAGCACTCATACTTTTATGGCAATGTATATAGCCATTATGTTGGCTACAAATATGCAATATGCTGTTTTTAAAAGGTTAAGACTGAATAATTTCAGTGCCTTGAATATTGTATAAAAATGGTTAAGACTGAATAATTTCAGTGCCTTGAACATTCAGGGCTGCCGATTTTCCGCGGATCCGCGAAAATCCGCGGATTTCGTGAGCTCCTGGGTCATTTTTTAGATCGATGTAAATTCGACAAAGACAATAAATTCATTCGTCATATTTTATACAGTACCCAAAAACCGGCACGCTTCGGCTTTTATCGTTACGCTAGCCGCCTATGGTACGTCTGTAAGCGCTTTTCTCATTGGTCATTGTCCTCAAGATAACTACATATATGTACGCTATTATCTACGTTACGTCTTACCGCGCTATTTGACGTCAACGTCACTTCTGACGTATGTTGTTATTGTTTATATATTACTGTTGAGATTTTGTACACATCGAATCGAGAGTCAATACAGATCGAACCTACACAACGCCTTTGTATTATTACTTCCAATATACGAAACCACTTCCACATTGGTGCCGTTTGTATAGTTATTGACTAATCATGAATCTACAGAAGCTTATTTCAACAAGAGAAGGTCATCGCAGAATTGTGCAGAGAAAATTAGCCGCAATTGATCAAAATGAGGAAATGTCATCTCTAGAAATTTCATCACTCATAGATTATCTGACAGAGAAAGCTACGATAATCAAAGGATTGAATGAAAAAATCATAAATCAGTGTGACGATATTGAAACAGAAATCGTGGAAAGTGAAGAATATTCATACGATTTGGATCTGAGGATTCAAAAGTTAAGTGAGACTTACCGGAAACATACTCAAGACTTTACAAACAATAGTTCCGTTGATCAAGAAGAAAACCCTATGGTACCGCGACATACGAGTTCGAGTACATTTGCGCAACATAAACTTCCAAAACTTACCATACCTAATTTTGACGGAGATCTTACCAACTGGCAGACTTTCTGGGACTCTTATGAGTCATCTATTCATCTGAATTCTACGTTATCGGACGTTCAGAAGTTCAACTACTTGCGATCTCTGGTTCAAGGTATAGCAGCACGGTGTATAGACGGGTTTCCTTTGACGAATGCGAACTATTTAAAGGCAGTGAGTCTACTAAGGGAGCGCTTCGGACAACCACAGAAGATAATTCATAGATACATGCAGTCCTTGCTTGAACTTCCAAGACCTAGCAACAATGTAGTAAGTTTACAATGTTTTTATGATAAAATGGAAACTTTTATCAGAGGTTTAGAATCACTTGGGCAGTCACAGGAATCTTACGGTAGCTTATTAATACCAATAATCTTAGAGAAGTTACCAGGCATAATGAAGCAAAATATGGCACGTGAACATCGCAGTGTAAACTGGGAATTACAAGAGTTAAGGTCAGCTATCTGTAAAGAAATTTCTTTCATGGAAGCAGGTATTTCTACTAGTGATATTATCAACCGTGAACCTGATGTTCATATTCCCACAGCGTCATTCTTTACTGGAACCAGACAAAGTACAAATGAACGTAAAAATGAACGTAAGAAAGACGTCAATTTTCGGAAAATTTTCAAGAAAGTTTGTCCCTTTTGTAATGATGAACATTCCCCAAACGAGTGCAGAAAGGTTACATCATATGAATCGCGTATAGATATTGTAAAAAGAGAACATTTGTGTTTTAACTGTTTACGGAAACATCAAGTATCGGCATGTCGTTCCACAAATAGATGTCGTCACTGTCAGCGCAAACATCATTCAAGTATCTGTGACAAATCTGCCAAGCAATCAAACTCAAAGCTCAATCCCAATGCCGCAAGTTTCACCATACCAGCTACTTCCGGTGTTTCAAATCAACCCGAAGCTGCAATTCTACACTCTACCACTCAGCTAAGACATGACGTTCTTCTGAAGACAGCCGTTGCAAAGATATGTTTTAACAGCGTTTCAATGGAAACAAATATTCTTTTTGATGAGGGAGCTCAGCGTTCTTTTATCACTGAAGAATTAGCGGAGAAACTACAAATTGAGCAGACCGGAAGTGAAGTCGTTCATTTAGCATCGTTTGGTGATACTAGCCAAAGAGTACGACACATGAGGAAATGTTGTATACAACTTATTACAGACGACAATGAGAAAATATGCATTGATGTTTTGATTGTTCCAAAGATAGCCGTACCGCTGCGAAATATTAATCAGAATATATTAGCCCTCCCATACTTGCATGGTTTAAAGCTAGCTCATCCAGTTACAAATGACAGAGATTTTGAGATATCGTTACTGATTGGAGCAGATTCATATTGGAAAATTGTTCAAGATAAGGTAGTCCGAGGGAATGGTCCAACAGCAGTGCAGTCGAGACTTGGATATCTTTTATCCGGTCCACTTCCGGTTTCCAACTTTCCAGCGTCAGGACAACACCAACTTCCGATTTCTACACTTACAGCGTCCACATTCCAACAGGCTCCAGTACCCACACAAGAAACGTCCACCCATTTATTGAACATTCTAACGTCCTCCCCAGATTCCTTTGATATTGAGAGATTTTGGAAGCTCGAGTCCCTGGGTATATCTCAAGAAAAAGAGAACCCTGAATCTAC